TTCATAGTATATTTACAAATGTATGATTGGTTTTGTAAATATACTATTAAAATTACAAAAGACACAAGAGATGCATAAGGTTAAACATACCATTTCTACCCATAGCCTTATTCATTCCCGAAATGTAATTGCGAAATATTTTCTGTGACATTGAAGCCAGTTTTTTTTGATAAATTCTGACTATTGCTTCATAATCATTTAAAATCATCTTTCGCTCTCTTTTCGTCAACTTAAGATACGCTTGTCCCGCTTTGTCTGGATGTCCCATATAAATATTGTTTTTGAAATATTCGATTAGGTTCTTTGGTGGTCTGACAATTTGCTCTTTGGTGATATCATCTAAAAAAAAATAAGAATGAATTAGTGGAAAATGGAAAATGATGTCATTCAACCCAGAGATACATGCCATTGAGCATTCCAGCATCAGTATCATCTTGTGTGGATACATTGCGAGAATGTGTAGCTGCACCTTGTGTCGGTGTAAAGACGTTGTTTTCTGACTGGAAACCTGCATTTTATGGTACAAATGTAGTAAAGTTAATCATAAGACTAGCGTTGCCATTTTTAAATCTACCACAAAAAATCATAGTAAATTTACAAACTGCAAAAACGAATTGAACAGTTTGTAAATTTACTATGAAATTAGCAGTAAAATTACAAACGAACGATACATACAATTTGGATCGAGGCCACTATTTCTACGCTCTGGTCTGGTGGCATTAACTAAAAATATATCAATAAATTAGCGCTGCAGTTCATTTTGTAATTTTACTACAAATTTCATAGTATATTTACAAATGTATGATTATTTTTGTAAATATACTATGAAATTTGTAGTAAAATTACAAACAAACGATACATACCGTTGGTCATGTCACCAGGATCGACACTGTTTTTGGCCGGTTCGGGTAAACCTTTGCCTTCCGTATCGAGGCCACTGTTGTCGGGCTCTGTTTCGGTTGAATTAACTAAAATCATATCACTAAATTAGCGCTGCAGTTCATTTTGTAATTTTACTACAAATTTC